ATTTTCTTCACTTACCTCCAGATTGAGTGAGTTATACTTAGCAGATTATTTTTTGCGTTGTCAGTAAATAAATTAGGCGAAAATGTGTCTTAATTGTTTGTGGATGTTTGTTAATGAGCTGCCATCAGCTTCAAACGCTGCCGTGTATCCGGTGATCGGCCGTCAGCGCATGCATAGATATTCTGCTGGGGTGGGGCTGGGTTGGTGCCCTCGGACTCCGTGAGGCTCTGTAATGCTGCTGCTTTGGGCCCTGGCAGGATGGGCTGGGGTCTCCATGCCCTGGGTGGCAGTTTGACAACAGAGGTGCCTATTGGGGCCAGTAGGGGAGCTGGCTCCCTGGAGGGCTAAGCCCAACCAGCCATTCCTCCCCATCCCCGCATATTTCTCTCCTCCTGCTCCCTCACATCATCACACAAACATACACATAGGACCTTGGGGGGTGGGCAAGTCAGGGAGTGCGGGTATGGACCCCATTTCCGCATTCCTGTGGCAACCTGCCCCCCAATTTTATTTGCACCTTATACACTTCCACCGACGACATTCCACACAAACACACACTTAGGGCCTTGGGAGTGAGCACATTCAACGGCATTTGGCAGGGGGATATTTCAGCCTCCTCCCGAGTGCCGGTGCCCACTTCCAATTTCAAACCGCACTTAGACACTGATGGCTGAGGGTGTAAGTGGGGTGGTGCGGTGGCATCAGCTGGCATATGCCGGATGATGCCCGCACTGCCCACTCACCACAGCCATGGAATACACCTCATGATCACACAACACTATATTGGAGCAGGTGGAGGGAGACTAGGGGTCTTAGCCACCTCTGTTGTTGCTAGGCTTCCTGGGGCTGGAGGCTAGGAGGGAGATCTGGCCGTCTGGTTGGGGTCTGGGGTGGTGGGTTGCTGTGCTCAGCGTTGGGCGGGGAGCCTGCTCATCAGCACCCCAGCAGAAAGGGTCAAACTCTGGTTACCGGTGATGGTTGTACCCCATGTGCAGCAGTACCGGGACCAGAGTTAATAGGGTGTGTATGGGGAGCATGAGTGAGTGTCCGGCGTGCATTTTTGTAAGTCTTGGGTTGTATGTGCATGTGTGAGCATGAGGGAGGGAGTGTGTGACTGTGTTTGTGTATGACTGTATATGTCAGGTGGGGCCTTTGGGTCCTCCCCTCTCCTGGAACTTCTCTTGATGATATAGATCTTTGTCCCCCCTCCCCCTGCCACACCTGGTGTGGGGGCTTGTGCCATGGTCTGCCTGAGTGTTCGTGGCAACCGGGTCTGGGGGTTTAAGATTTTGGCATCTGCCTGATAGATCCCGGTGGCTGCCTGGTGGGGTCTGGGTCCCTGGGCTTTGCTGGGTCCCCGGCGGGGGTGGTCACCCCTGGGTCCCGGGTCGCTGGGTCCCGGGCTCCCGGGCTCCCGGGCTCGGCCGGCTAGGGGGTGGGAGGCTGCGGGCGGGCCTGTGGGCTTGCCGCTGATATCTCCAGGGACTCTGCCGGCTGCTGGTTGTGGCCCCCCGGGGCGATCCTCTGTGCCTCTCGAGGGGGGCGGGGGCCTTTCTGGTTGCAGTCTCCTTGGGGTTCCTGCGTTCTGGGGCAGCTCCTGGATCTCTGGGACTTGGAGCTCCCCCCGTCTCCTGCGCATCTTTGGGGGGCAGATCTGTGGTCCCTCACACTCTCTGTTGGACGCTCCTATAGAGAAACCTTAAATAAACAAGCGCGTGTACACACACAAGTGCTCACATGGTGCTCTCAAAAGTATGGGCTTGGGCACGTTCAACACATGTCTTAAGACTATGGGGGGCACTTAATGCATTGTGATTTATTATCGTGATTCTTCAGTTAAGCAATGTTGATTATATATATATATATATATTGTTTTTTTTGTTTGTTTTTTTCATCAAGTTGACGCAGTGATAGGTAGATCTTGTTGTATTGTTGTTGTGTCCCTTTTTTGTGCCCTTTTGTTTTTTTTTTTGTCTTTTTCTGCAGGTCTAGAAGCAGACTCTTGTTCATTGTTTATTTTTGTGGAAACCCCCCCACCCCCTCCTCTCTCTCCACCTTTTCTCTTCCTTTCTCTTTCACCTCTGTCTCCGTGTCTGGTCGGAATTACAAAGCATTCAACAACAATAACAATAAAGTTTTAAGTATCAGGCGTGACATTAAAAGCAAACGCTTTGATGCTCCACCTGAGAATAAATCTGTAAGGCTTGTCACCAGCATTCAGACATCAATTCTGCTTGCTTCACAGCCAGACAGGACACGGTAAAAAAAAAAAAAAAAAAAAAAAAAAGAACAGAATCAGTGAAAAAGGGCGGTCCAACTCTCACCGGGAACAAGCTCGACTTACTGCCGGCAATGTGGACCAAGCTCTTACTCTGGTCATACAAGGACCTAACAATCCATATTACCCCATACTCCTGAAGTACCACCCACAGGGCCCCCCAAGGGACGTGGTCAAATGCCTTCTCCTAATTCACCAAACACATGTAGATTGGTTGGACAAACTCCCACACACCCTCTAAAACCCCCTAAGGGTACAGAACTGGTCTAGTGTTCCATGGCCAGGACAAACACCACACTACTCCTCCTGGATCTGAGGTTCAACTATGAAATGGACATTGCTCTCCAGAACCCCTGAATAGACTACCAGGGAGACTCAGGAGTGTGATCCCCCTGTAATTGGAACACACCCTGCGGTCCCCGTTTTTAAATAGGAGGACCACCATCCCGGTCTGCCAGTCCAGTGGAACTGCCCCAACTGTCTGTACAATATTCCAGAGCTGTGTCACCCAACACAGCCTGTCAATATCCAGAGCCTTAAGACACTCCAGGTGGATCTTATCCACCCTTGGACCAGAATCTCTTCGAACGTATGTGGAACTAATGCTCTGTGGTCTCACCGAACTCCTGCCATGTCCAGGTTTTTGCCTCCGCGACCAACTGAGCAGCATTCTGCCTGGACTGCCAGTGACAATCAGCTGCGGAGTCCCACAGGCCAAAACGACCCGAGTGGACACTCTCTTCAGCTTGACAGCATCTTTAACTGCCGGTGTTCACCAACGGGTTTGGTGGTTACCGCCACGATAGGCTTCAATAACCCTGCGGCCGCATTTACAAGTATGTCAACCCCACACACCAGCTCAGGCTCTTCCCCCACCAAAGAGGTGATTTTCCAGAGCCAGCTTCTGTAGCCGATGTTCAGACATCTCACAATTCACCCGACCCCTTTGACCCCTATGGAAGCAAAAATGACATGTTTTTTTTATATGGCAGCTTTATTTGTACATCAAAGTAAATTTCATACACTTGATTTGAGAACTTGTTTTCTGTTTATTAAATTTGCATCCAGGCAACGTCCTGTGATGGTACTATTCTGACTGGAAGTCATTGTTTAGAATTCTTTTTAGAAAAAACAATTCAGACAAAAACTGTTTGAAAGTGAAAAACTGTATGTTTCTGTCACGCTGTGAGGGGGGGGGGGGGGGGGGGGGGGTTAGGACCCAAGATGCAGAACCAGGGAGACACAAGGCAGGAGTTGGAATAAATGTAAGATCCTTTATTAGGAGTGATTGTCCAAAAGTAAATCCAAAAGGCAGGAATTCAATTCAATTCAAGTTTATTTATATAGCACTAAATCACGACAAGAGTCGTCTCAAGGACCTTCACATTCACGGTAGCACGACTCTTGTTGCAAATGACCACAGTACCAATTCTTCTGTACTGAAACAATTGCCCCTCGGGGATGATTAAAGTTTTTTGATTGATTGATTGATTGATAATAAACATTCCAATTCAGGTCAGTTCATTGAGCCAATCAGAAAAAATGTTTCCTATATAAGGAACCCAGCAGGTTGCATCAAGTCACTGACTAGTGTCAGAGTCTTTACAGCAATCCTCATACTAAGCAAGCATATAGCGACAGTGGAGAGGAAAACTCCCTTTTAACAGGAAGAAACCTCCAGAGGATCCTGGCTCAGTATAAGCAGCCGTCCTCCACGACTCACTGGAGATGGAGAAGCCAAAACCAAAGATCCAAAATCCCAGTATGAAAAAAAAAGACCTAGAGACAAAGAGCTCACTTAAAAGGCTGCCCTGGAGACCTAGAGACAACACTGACACAAACAATGGACCAACAACACAATGAGACGCAGACAGGGTTTTATACACAAAGGGAAACAATCAGGAAAGGGAAGGGATCAGGTGAGACCAATTAACTGAGTGGGGAAAACTGACTAGGTAAAATAAATCTACAGATGAGTGAATTCCTAGAACCTGAAAACAAGACACCAGAGGAAAAACACCAACAGAGATGGGGTTACTGCATCAGAAAACACTACGGGGGAACCTGAGGGAGCTGGAGACCTAAAGGGGCACATGAACCAAAGAAGAACACCTAAGGGGAAAACCTGGAGTGGGATGGAGAACACAAGGAGACACATGAGGGGGACGCAGGATGCAGACCATGATATTTCAATGAGTTCTGATGTCAGAAGCTCCTCTTTTAGTCAGTTTGTGCCGCGGTAGGTCTGAGGCCTGGTGCTAAATAGAGAAAAATGTGGGACAGATGATAAAGCAGTTTATCCTGTCAAAGTTCCTCCATGCTGGATTTCAGCAGTGCTGATGATCTGTGAGCATCAATCTTATGGGCTGTGATGTTTTTATGTTTAGTCTGTCAGAGGACTAATCTCTGTGTTTGATGAAAAATAACTTAAGATCCATTTTTGATGCTCTAAAAGAAACAGCCATTTTTAAAATTCTGTCTTCATACATTTTAAATTTTCTGCCCCCCCAGGCTGCTAAAACAGACGCACACACATCTGTTCAGCCTGGCTTCATGTTAAGAGTTTTGCAACACACAAAACAATATGTGGAGTTTCTCCTTGACTTCTGAAGCTTATTCTGTGTTTGAGGAGTCTGATTGGATCACAGGACACCTTTTGTTGGTAGGTAGAAAAACTAAACATCAGATTTGAATATGAACTCTGTGTTGTGTTTCCCTGCAGTTTTTCTTCTGGCTCGGTGCCCTTGCAGCGTAACCAGTGGGCCTGCGGCTGCTGCACTTTCCTCAACTCAGCAGGTGCCCCCCGCTGCTCCATCTGTGAAGCCCCTCGGCGAGGATCCAACACCCGCTGGCTGTGGCCTGGGACCAGCAAGGAGGATGCTGGTTGGTCCTGCCCTTGCTGCACACTTGCCAACCACCCCACAAGCCTGGCCTGCTCTCTGTGCGGCTACACTCGACCTCTGAACCCGCTACTCGACTCCCCTCGGCCCCAGCTGCGACCCCAGCGCTCCAGCAGCTGCTCCGGACCCCTGAGGTTACCGTCAGAGCAGAGCCAGAATCAGCCAGGAGGTGCAGATAAAACCAGCCCGGGATGGGACTGTCGGAGGTGCACGCTGCAGAACACACCTGCCTCTACGTCCTGTTCTGCTTGCGGTGGACCACGGAAACTGTCTCTGCCTCAGATCCCAGCTGAGGCGCTGGTCATCCCTGATGTCTGCAGAGAGACGACAGCTCAGCAGCCAGAAGCTGCAGCAACAGCAGCAGCGGCGGCACTTTCACTCTCCATATCAACCCGAGGAGAGTGTTTACCAGTGGAAGCTTCATATCCAAACACAAACTCTACAGAGCTCAGTGAGCCGCCTTCGGGCAATAATGATCCAGTTCCCTGCAGCCGCAGAGAGATTCCTCCATCAGATGTTCACCTCACACAGGGAAATAGCGCAAAAACCTCACAGCTCGCTGTTTCCCAAGCAGAGCTGCTGGTCGGCAGGAGGCTCAGCATCCTCGAGGAGGAAATGTCACCTCTGTCTCCTGCATCAGGCGGCACCGTGACGTTTCCAGCTGCAGCACTTATCAGCTCAGAGTCAGAGGAGTGGTCATGTCCAGCATGCACGCTCATCAACAGGGTCAAGGACAAACACTGCCTGGCCTGTAACTCTTCTCAACAACACGTCATACATCTGAAACAGACATCACAGAGGAGGAAGGAGAGCAAGCTGGTGGAGGCACTGCGACAGAGTGATGAAGAGGAGGCCAGAGAGCTGTGGGAGAACATCATCAGCTTCTGCAGAGAGGTTTGTCTCTCCAGCGACTCTCACACATCAAACTGTAACTCCACATTTAAATATCGGCTCAGATTTCTAGTTTTTAGAAACATGAAGGGTTCAGGATATTTTACTAAAATCCCTGTAATGAACTAAACTGGCAAAACATTGTCTTTTAATTCTGAACCATAACTTATTTTATTTTGAAGTTTTAAAACATTTATTTGTTTGTTTGATGATAATAGAGACGCTTATATGTAGCTGCTTCTGTGATTTATTTGTTTATCTGTTTTAGCTGAACGGAGGCGTAGTTGGGAGCATTATTGCACGGCAACGAGAAAGTTGCTCCACAGATCTGATTGTTTTGAACAGGTGACTAAAACTTGAACCGTGCGTGTTGACAGTGACTTAAATATCGCCAAACTCAGTCAAGGTTAAACTAGCGAACAGCGGTAACTTGCCATGCAAAAGTCCCTCAGAATCAATAGTAACATGTATATTTCTTACATTCATTTAAATTTTTTAAATTTATAAATTCAGTTTAGTAGCCCATATTAGTACTGGTAACTTTTCAGATTGAGGAGGAGCTATGTGGTTTTCGTCCTGGCCGTGGAACTGTGGACCAGCTCTATACCCTTGCAAGGGTGATAGAGGGGGCATGGGAGTTTGCCCAACCAATCCACATGTGCTTTGTGGATTCGGAGAAGGCTTATGACCGTGTCCCCAGGGGCACCCTGTGGGGGACGCTCCAGGAGTATGGGGTGGGTGGCTTTCTGTTAAGGGCCATTCAGTCCCTTTACCAGAGGAGCGTGAGTTTGGTCCGCATAGCCGGTAGTAAGTCGGACCTGTTCCCGGTGAGGGTTGGACTCCGCCAGGGCTGCCCTTTGTCACCGGTTCTGTTCATTACCTTTATGGACAGAATTTCTAGGCGCAGCCGTGGTGTGGAGTGTGTCGAGTTTGGTGGCAGGAGAATCTCGTCTCTGCTTTTTGCGGATGATGTGGTCCTCCTAGCTTCATCCAGCTCTGACCTTCAGCTCTTGCTGGGTAGGTTCGCGGCAGAATGTGAAGCGGCTGGGATGAGGATCAGCACCTCCAAATCTGAGACCATGGTTCTCGACCAGAAAAGGGTGGCTTGCCAACTCCGGGTCGGGGGAGAGGTCCTACCTCAAGTTGAGGAGTTTAAGTATCTCGGGGTCTTGTTCACGAGTGAGGGTAGGAGGGATCGGTAGATCGACAGGTGGATTGGTTCAGTGTCTGCAGTGATGCGGACGCTGAGCCGATCGGTCGTGGTGAAGAGGGAGCTGAGCCAGAAAGCCAGGCTCTCGATTTACCGGTCGATCTACGTCCCAATCCTCACCTATGGTCGTGAGCTTTGGGTAATGACCGAAAAAAACAAGATTGTGGATACAGGCGGCCGAAATGAGTTTCTTCCGTAGGGTGGCCGGGCTCAGCCTTAGAGATAGGGTGAGGAGCTCGGACATTCGGGAGGGACCCTGAGTAGAACTGCTGCTCCTCCGGATCGAAAGGAGTCAGTTGAGGTGGTTTGGGCATCTGGTCAGGATGCCTCCCTGGGGAGGTGTTCCGGGAATGTCCTGCCGGCAGAAGGCCCCCGGGTCGACCCAGGACACGTTGGAGAGGTTACATCTCCAATCTGGTCCGGGAACGCCTTGGGGTCCTGCCGGAGGAGCTGGTGGAGGTGGCCGGAGAGAGGATGGTCTGGAGCTCCCTAGTTGGGATGCTGCCCCCGCGACCCGGACCCGGATAAGCGGAGGAAGACGACGACTTTTCTAAAAGAAGTCATGACTGACATTCGGTTTTACAGTGTAGTTAGAATCTCAGTTGCTGCTTTAAAGCGTGACATATGTCTGCTTTCCTCCCACTGACTAAAACAAGCATGTTATGTGTCTTGCTAGTCATTTAGGCGTATTTAGCACTGTTTAGCTCCCTGCCCTTAAAAAATATTCTACCAAATCCAAATAGAAGGCTTTCTTTTGTTAGATGAATCATTAAAATAATCTATTCTGAGATTCCGTTTTTGGTTTGTTCAGCTGTTGTGTGTTTTCTTTTCTTCCACATCTTTTGACAAAAATGATTAGTTGCTCTTTTTTTGAGCACAGTTGTCCTGTTTGTTTTTGCCAGCTCATCCTTCATTGGCTGAATTTTTCAATACTTTATCAGCTCCGGGATTACACCAGCTCCTGTAATGAGTGTATGACTGTGTGTGTTTTCTCGTCCCAGAACAGAGTGACCTTTGTAGATGACAGCTTCCCTCCTGGTCCCAAGTCTGTGGGCTTCCCATTGGACGACAGCGTCCAGCAGCGGACCAAGAAGTGGCTTCGGCCAGAAGAAATCAGCTGCTCCAACATTCGAGAACGGGGGGTCAAGTGGTCAGTTTTCAGCGCTCCACGCCCGTCGGACATCCTGCAGGGACTTCTGGGTAACTGCTGGTGAGAGACCAACAGATTTTACAACCTGGCTTTTACACAATAAGATGCTTCAGAAATGAAGTCATATTTTCTCACGATTTAAATCTCCAGGTGTCTCCTTCAGGTTAACTCAAGCTGTTAACATTAAAGTGAATTTCAGCCTTTAAACAGGCAATAATAACCTGCTGCTAAACTCCTGATGCAGGTTCCTGAGCGCCCTGGCGGTTCTGGCAGAGCGCCCTGAGCTGGTGGAAAAGGTGATGGTGACCCGTCTGATGTGTTCTGAGGGAGCGTACCAGGTGCGCCTCTGTAAGGACGGCTCATGGACCACGGTTCTGGTGGACAGCATGCTGCCATGTGACGAGAACGGGCACCTCCTCTTCTCTCAGGTGGGAAAAGTCTGATCCACACAAAGAAAAGGATGCTCAAGGTTAAATAGAAATTTCTGACAGAACTGAAATAGTTCAAATGAAAATGTAATGTAAAGTTTACTGACTTATACCGTTTGTATCCGTGTCCAATCCCTGCAGGCTCAGAGGAGGCAGCTCTGGGTACCTCTGATTGAAAAGGCTCTGGCAAAGCTCCACGGCTCTTACTTTTCACTGCAGGCTGGCCGGGCCATCGAGGGCCTGTCTACGCTAACCGGGGCCCCGTGTGAGTCGATGCCCCTCCAGGTTAGTGCCACCAACCCTAAGGAAGAACCCGTCGATACCGACCTGATCTGGGCCAAAATGCTGAGCTCCAAAGAAGCTGGGTAAGGACAGAAAGACCTAACCTGAAAGCAGGAGGTTCTTATGGGTTCAGGCAGTAATGCTTGTGTTTCTCTCAGATTCCTGATGGGGGCGTCCTGTGGTGGAGGGAACATGAAAGTGGACGATGCGGAGTACGAGTCTTTGGGTTTACGACCACGACATGCGTACTCTGTCCTGGATGTTCGGGATGTCGACAGAAACAGGTAAGGAAAGAAGTTGGACCTGGAGACATTTAGATGCTGTAACCTTTAAGGTAAACTGCAAAAAGCTTCAAATATATTGAAAAGGTTTTTCTTTTTTACATTTATTTAAAATATATGATAAAAAAGATATTGTCCAGAAAGACATTGTTTTTTATTACTGATGAATTACGTTATATTTACAGAGTGTGTCGCTTTGGAAAAAAAACAAAAAAAATGACTATTAATACATATGAAAATAAAAAGCATCAATTTTAACTGGAAAAGCAGTTCATTTTACATGAGACATATTAAAGTATATGTCTGGATTATTTCTTTTATCTGACGGCACTTTCTCGTGGCTGACTAGCCAATTGCACCAAGACGTTTTACTTCCGCATTTACGGTGAAAGCCACGCCTCTCATTCATGAATGTGCTTCTCTAGCCAACAAAACTGAGCTAGACACGTTGCTTTACACTTATTATGCTCGTTGTGTTTTTATATTGTTATATTATATTTAAAGACTTACTTTTCCACAAGAAAGGTCGCCAACTCGGCATCAACCGAGCTGCATCCTTAAACTACATATGTCAGAGTCAAGGCCCGCGGGCCAGATGCGGCCCGCGGAGCATTTTTATGTGGCCCGCAAGATAAATATAAAAAATAGATCAAAACTGGCCCGCTGGCCGATTTTACCGCAAAGACTTCAACTCCCATGTTGCTTTGCAGCGTCAGCGCGGAGCCGACGCGCCCCCTCCTTTGTGTGTTTTTCCAGCGTCTGCTGCCGGGTGTCTGCAGCTCTGCTGTCTCGGACAAACTAAACACTCCTCTCACTCAGCGCCGAGTTTACTCAGCTATTTTCTGATGTTGAAGCCCAGGAACGGAGATTCTAGCCGCTCAGTAATGTGTTCATGACTGAAAGAGAAAGTTTTCCAACTAACGTCCAGACAGAGCTGATATAACTCTAGCGAACAGCGACACGCTCAAACCAGCACGGCTCTGTGGCTGCTGTAGTTTTTCCTCCCCGACACACAACAACGTGGTCAAGCTGCTCAGACATGTTCATCAGCACAAACCTATGTGAGCACCTGTTGTCATCTAATGTTGTCATTATTATGATGAAGATGAACAAAACAACAGGAGTCTCCTCCTCAGCTCAGATCAACCCCATGATGCAGGTATCTGGCTGGAACAGGTGAGCATCACAGTAAACCAGTGGAGCAAACTGAGCTTTAAATATGTTGGTTTTATGCTCTTTTTCTGCTCCAAAACATGAAAGTTAACAGGTGAGATGTTGCATTTTCATTTAAGATAAAATGATATTTTTATTTTGTTGTTGGCCCGTGAGCAAAGATTTAACCTACAGCGAACAGGAAGTGGAAAGGCTGCAGATAGATGAATAGAATAGAAACTCCCTTTATTGTTCCTCAGTGGGGAAAGCTAGACGTCACAGCAGCGATGACACGTATTACAGGAGAAAAAAGGAGAATAAAAAATAAGAAAAATGAATAAACAAGAAAACATAAATCCTGAATAGATTTTAAAAATGCTGATTATACCACAAGTAATGAATATACCACTGATGCCTTTTATTTCAAACTGACTTGCTCGTGTGTAATTTGGTTATTCCACATTCAGTGTTAATGCAGGAATAAGTTTGTTTCCAAATTTAAAGGTTCAAAATTGCATATATGTTGATGAAGAAAATGTGCAAATTTGCCGTCACTTTTTCAAAAAATATTAAGTTTGGCCCTCGACTCCGTCCCAGAGTTTCATTTTGGCCCCGTTTGAGTTTGAGTTTGACACTCCTGATATACATGAATATAGAAATAAGTAAAACTGTTACTAGTAAAACAAACAATGCAGAAAATAGCCCCTAAATACTTTATAAATGTAAATGATTAAATTTAAGTGTGAAATTCAAATTTCTTCAGTTATTTTCAAATTTTTATTAATTCTTTTCAAAATTATTTGAATTTATTTATTTTCAGATTAGTCCATGGCTCTGCTCTGCTGTCTAGTACAGTTTTATCTTAATTTCATACATTTTGTGTTGTTACACTTCACTACAAAAGCTCTCATACATAATGAATGCAGTTATTTAAAACAAGTAAAACATTTTGAACATCAATATTCAAGATTATAAGACATCATAAAACAATAAATTAATTTTTATAAGTAAGTGCAATTTCAGACCAAGAAGTTTTCCTTTCAAACTGAAACCCTGTGTCCTTGTGTTTCTCACAAAATTCTTTAAGCTTGAAAGTAATTTAAAGAAAATCTGATATATAAAAGATGACATTTACATGAAATTGAATGTGAATTTGGGCTCTAGGCCTTTTGCTGCTACACCTGTTTTTCCCCCACCTGGGTGACGCACGGGCTCAAAGGGTTAATGGAAGACGTGTTTCAGGTTGGTGCAGCTGAGGAATCCGTGGGGTCGGTTCTCCTGGACTGGAGCCTGGGGGGATGACTGGCCCAGCTGGCCTCCACACCTGAAGAGAGAGCTGTGCGCCCAGCGAGCTGAGGATGGCCTGTTCTGGATGGACTTCTGGGATTTTATCAGGTAGACGGAGAACCTTCCTCTAATCTCCAGTTTAAAATCTGAGAAACTGAGTTTAATTTGATTTTGAAATGCCAAATGTGAGTTGAGATTTTCTAATTAATCAAAAATTTTGATATTTAATTAGTTGGACAAAAACCACAGAGCTTGACAGAGACCGATTGAGTAATTGTGGGTAAATTTATGCTAAAATCTTCAGAGAGGGGCCTTGATCTCCCCCTGTGCTTGAACCCATCAGGTACTTTGACTCGGTGGACATCTGTAAGATTCACTCTGACTGGCAGGAGGTTCGTGTTGCGGGTGCTTTCCCCCGAGGCGCTGATGTTCCCTTGACGGTGGTGTCAGTGACGGTTCTGGAGAGGACATCTGTGGAGCTGGCTCTGTTCCAGCAGGGCAGCAGGTCAGACTGTTGACACTTGATGGTTTAGTGGCCAGTAAACAGAATCCGGGCTTCATATCTTTAGTAAACTGATCTGAGCATCCCACCCAGTTCTTCCTGATGCATGCCACACTAAATGTGGTTTTATACCTGTCTCACCCTCTGTCTCCTCAGGCGCTGGGACACAGCAGAGAGCCACTTGCTGGACCTGTGTGTGCTGTTGTTTCGTGTCGCCTACGACAGTTCTGGTACTCTGACGCTGGGTCGACTGCTGGCCCACAGCCGGCGCTCTGTCAGGAGGTTCGTGGGCTGTGATGTCATGCTGGAGCCGGGCGAGTACGCAGTTCTGAGCTGTGCCTTCAACCACTGGAAGAGCTCTGTCACCGAGAACGGAGGTGGGAATGTCCACAGACAGGCTGTTGGGTGGGATGATGTGTTGAAGTGTTGTTCAGTAATGAGCCTCAGATGTGTGTTTTCAGTGATTTGTGGCAGAACCACCATGCCTGGTTACATTCTGGCGGTCTACAGCTCCAGACAAGTGATGGTGGAGCAGGTGACGGCCTCCAACACTACCGTGGCTGATGCCGTCATCCAGCTGGCCGAGGTCAAAGGAGAGCGCCACGAGGTGATGCTGCCTTCGCTCAGTTGGTGTTAAACAGTTAATTGGAATGATGCAACAATATGATGAAGAAACTCCTCCTAGGGCCGAGAGGGGATGACCTGCTACTACCTGACGCATGGCTGGGCGGGGCTTGTCGTCATGGTGGAAAACCGACACCCGAGACACCACCTACACGTGTCCTGTGACTGCAGTGACAGCTTCAATGTGGTGTCGACGCGCAGCAGCCTGAAAACCGTGGACAGCATCCCTCCTCTGCACAGGTTCCCCGAGTGCAGCGCACACTTAACCCCATCCTGTCTGACAGGCAGCGAGCTGGGAAGACCCGGCATTTCATTTTCTAACATTAAAAAGTTCACCGAAGCTTCCTCCTTGTTCCATTCCTGGTTTAGTTGTAACAGGAGTCTTTGTTTCCCAGGCAGGTGCTGGTGGTTTTGTCTCAGCTGGAGGGAAATGCTGGCTTCTCCATCACACACAGACTGGCTCACAGGAAGGCTGCTCAGGCATCTCTGGGGAACTGGAGTCCCTCAAAGGCGTTGCACAGTCCAGCTCTGAGCCCAGAGACTGCTGGGCTGCACCAGCCGCGGCCACTGTGACCCCAGAACAGGAAGCGCCAGAACCAGTTAAAGGAACTGGAAACTTCTGACTGTGGATAGGATAGACAACAGGGTTATTTTCTTCTCCAGACACGGGACTGTTTCTAGAAACACATCTCTTAAAGCCTGAGCTGCTCAGCAGACAGAACAAAAAGACTTACTGGGATGAACTTTAACCTGATTGTTGTTTTACAAACTAGAAGAATATTCCCAACACCCAGAATGGAACCCACTCAAAACCTCTAGTCAGTCCAGTTCTCTCTGAGCACAACAAACAAACACACTGGATCATTAGGAGCAGCTCTGCCTCTGAGAAATGACTCGTGCAGATGAGATCTTTTAGGAACCACATGATGCACTTTAAGTCTCCCATCAGATCCAAACCGTCCCAACTGTACCGATGAGAGAAGAGCAGAAGCTCAAGTGTTTCTGACAGACGTTGGTGTTTACTCTCCGATGGGATTTGGTCTTATTACAGGAAGTCGTTTAGATCAAGTGTTTAGGAAGGCGGTGGAGAGCCGCTGTGTGGAAGCATTAGCACTTTATGAAATAATGCTGCATTTTTCTTTAACTTGGGTGTTTTAATCGTGCAGGAAAAACAAAGTTTTATTGTCTCACGTTCATCAGAATTATAGAATAAAAACTATGCAAATATATCAAATGTCTTGTGGTGCTTTCAATAAAAAAATCTAGCTACACTTTTGATTACTGAGGATTCCTGCTGCTAAAAGCACAGTTATGTGAACCTGGAAAAATTAAAATGCTGTGCAAAATTACATTCATTTCTGTAATTCAACTAGACTGAGAGACCATTTAAAGGCTCAGGAACCTTTACAGGTGTTTCTATTTGCAATTTTAAATTTTAGCTGATTGGGGTCTTGTTAAATATCACACAGTGACCTTTTAATAGTCTAGATAAGTGTAATGCTCCTGTTAGTAGTTCCCCCGTTGAGTGCTTGTTTCAATTATTCAGGTTAATAAAAAACATTTGGACATATATTTTATTATGTTCCAGTCATTAGTCATTTATATTTCACTATTGTAGTCATGTATAGTAAATTAAGTTTAAGAGGGGAACCCATTTTTCTTGCATTCTTTAATGAAAAAAGTAACTAAGTAGTTATTTTTCTTGGTAATTAGTTACTTGTATAATCTCATAACTCAGTAACTGAGTTACTTTTTTGACAAAGTAATCTGTAGCTATAACTAATTACTTTTTTAAAGTAACATTCCCAACACTGCTGAGGAATATCTGTTGTAAATCATTTAGGGTCGACTTTCAATTCAATTCAATTCAAAAATACTTTATTAATCCCAGAGGGAAATTGATTGATGTAGTAGCTCAGAATAATAATAATAATAATCAAGTCATCAAAGAGTTATTGTATATTACAATGGCTGTTGGCAGGAAGGATCTCCAGTAGCGGTCAGTGTTGCAGCCAAACTGAAGAAGCCTCTGACTGAAGACACTCTTCTGTTGTTGGACAGTCTTGTGAAGAGAATGCTCAGGGTTGTCCATCATTTTCTTGATTCTCTGGAGAATCCTTCTTTGCATTATCTCCTCCAGCGGTTCCGAAACTGCCGAAACTCTGGCTGAGTCCTTGAAAGGGCTTGGAGTTCCTCCATCTTGTTGGCCAGTGATCTCACATTGCCCATTATGATCGATGGAAGAGATGGTTTGAATTTCCTCTTTCTCTGTCTCCGTTTTGCTCCCGCTCTGCACCCACGCTTCTTGCGTTTTAGCTCATTTGGGATTTGTGGCTTCAGTTGAGGTATTATTTCAGCCTTTCCAATGTTAATCAGCTGCTCCCGATTGTAAACCAGCTTGTTGCCATGGTTACGCATCATAACAAATGCTCAAAAAGTGAAAAAAGCTAAAAAATAGCAGTAAAAATCCTCCAAGCTTCACAGCACCAGAAACAGAAAAGTAAAGTATCCAAAAAATACAGTTTTTCTTGAGAAACTAGAAGAAACAATGCCCAAGAAAAGGCAAAACTTACATATAGTCAACAGAGCTACTCCAAAATGCCCGTCCAGAGCAGTGCAGTTCACTGACTCTTGCAGTTTCCCAATGGAAATGACATTTTTTAATTCCTGATCTAGTCCTCATTTCTGTTTTATTTCCAAGCAGCCTGATTTTTCTGGTACATTTAATCTATGTCCTTTAGTTCAAACAGATTAAGGAAACAACGTTAATTGGAATATCCGGTACTAAAATAATTTATGAACACTGGAACCACATACGGTGCCCACAGGCCTTTTCTCTAAATAGCACAAGTATACAATAAATGTCACGTTGAGAGCAGGAGGGGGTTAGGACCCAAGATGCAGAACACCAGATGACACGAAGCAGGAGCGATTGAAAAAGGAAAATCCTTTTATTTAGGATGCAGCTAATTAAATAACGGTGCTGGAAATGAGACTGAGAACTAAACCTAGAGAAGTAAAAACAAAACAGAAGCTCGTTTAAGAGCACAGACCTACTGACAAGCAGGGAGGGAACAAAACAACGCTGACACAAGACAATGGACCGACCAACACTGAGAGATAAGACAGGGTTTTATACGCAGAGGGAAGCAATTAGGGAAACAGGTAGCAGGTGTGTGGGGAGTGTAAGCTGAAGGGATCAGGAGAGACTAATAAACTAAATGGGGAAGGAACACATTGCTTAAAAGGAAGAAACTGACTGGATAATATAACTATACAGATGTAACATCACGAATGGCCTGATTTTGAGACCCCACAGGTCAAATGCACAGCAGGTCAATTTACCCTGGCTATCAAACATCCTACAATCTTTTCCCCTCACAGGAGACTCGAAGTCTGCATGTAGTCCCTTTAATCAGAGCCTACTTCCTCACACTAGCTGGACTGCAGAGATAATAAATGATAAACAACAAACAGTTTCTCCTCCAAGGTCCATCACAGAGGAGTTCTCTTAAATAAACTTCTTTATTCCAAGAAGAAGAAGAAGAAGAAGAAGAAGAAAGAAGATTTTCATAATTAAAATTAATCATTGAATGAACTTTTGTTATTGCTACTTATAAAATTATAAATAATGAAATGTTCATTAATCTGTTTAATGATATGCATGTTTACTGGATGAGGTCACTCACACAAGGACAAGTAAAGTTAAGTTAAAGCGTGCCACATAAGTTAACCTTTTGCCCAGATTTTGAGTCTTCCATCACAGAAGGTGTGTTCTGAGATTCTTGGTAACATCTCTAAAACTTGTCAATATATACTTTCAATTCTTTAAAACTAGATGGCTTTGAGTAATTTGTCAGTTCGAAGAGCGAGCTTTAGACCGGCCGTCTTTAGCACCTCTTTAACCGGAAGGATTTTAACACGTCGTCAAAACCTTTAACCTTTTTCGTACCTGCGAAGCTTTGTCTTTATTTTGAACATGCGTACATACACATAGTAATACACACAACATAAGTAACTTCTCCTTCTGTTTTTTTTACACATGTTCAAAAGGGAGTAGGAAGAAGTATCAGCTTATTTAATCCCACCCCTTTCTCGACATTTAAAGAACGTTGAGTGGGCGGTTCTTCAGAAACGTTGGTTACGTATTGTAACCTCAGATTCTATGAGTCTAGTCGCAGCCCTTAAGCTAGCTGCTATTGGAAGGATGATCTCAGCATCAGCCAATCGTGAAGAGCTTAAATGTACGCCCACCAATGGTGGGCACCCCTGTGGGTATATAAGTGGAGCGGCTCCACTGTTCGCCTCCGATGGCTCTTAGTCCTACAGATCCAGTGGGGCCATTGGCTTAAGGGCTGCGACTAGACTCATAGAATCTGGGGTTACAATACATAACCAACGTTCTATTTCGTCTAGTCTTAGCCCTTAAGCTAGCTGCTATTGGAATAATGCGCAGCTGGGTGGGTTTACGCCACACTGGTTAGCTCAACCAATGGACACACCCAACATGTCTTCTTTTAGTGAGGGTCGCTCAGCCTCAGCCCAGGGCTTAAAAGGCTGAGGCAGCCAGAGAGAAGAGTGGGGCCCCACTAAAATTATCATCCACAAGAGGATGAAAATCATCCAAGCAAGGCTGATGTGGTGCCATAATGCCTTCACTCAGCCTGCTGAGGTCCAAGCACTGAACAAGCAATGGATCCTGAAGACACATCTCGTAAATAATAACGAGTAAAGGAACAGGGTGAAGCCCATGAAGCAGCCTGACAAATGTCTTCCATCGACACACCACTGTGGAGCGCCATAGAAGAGGAAATCCCTCTGGCTGAGTGAGCCCTGAGTGTCTCAGGAGGATCTCGCCCTGATGATGTATAAGGGAGTGAAATCACATAGCCAGTCACATAGCGTCACATAGCCAGTGTGAAAGACGCTGGGTCGACAGCGCTTGCCCAAGGGAAGAATCTCTGTAGTGCACAAACAGGCTGTGAGCGGCGAATCCCTGAAGTGCGTGACACATATCGTGCGAGCGCCCGCACCGGGCCGAGAAGGTGGGAAGCCGCCTCCTCATCAGAATTATGGGGAGGAGGAAAAAGTCCAGCCAATGAAATTGACCTGGATTTGAAGGAAGTATTAATGTTTTTGGGCACAAAGGCTGGGTTGGGGCATAAAACAGCAGACCCGCCATCTTCCCGGATCCTGAGGCATGCGGGAGCCACTGAGAGGGCGGTTAGGTCGCTCACCCTCTTGACTGATGCCAGCGCCAGCAGCAAGGCAGTTTTGAGTGACAGGAACTAGAGTGAGACCTGGTCCAAGGGTTCAAATGGGGCTTCAGACAAGCCGCGCAGAACCACCGTTAGGTCCCACTGGGGAAATAGCGGGCGGGACACAGGTCTGTTCCTTCTGACACCTTTTAGAAAACGTTTTGTGAGGGGATAATTGAAAACAGATCTATCTCCAAAACCCTGGTGACAGGATGAGATAGCTGCAGCATTTGTTTTAATAGTGCTAAATGCGAGGCCCCTGTCCATTAGCATCTGCAGAAACGATAGGACATCCGCCAGCTGGCAGGAGAGCGCTTGAACATTCCGCTCTGTGCACCACTTCTGGAAAGCTGCCCATTTTGCAGCATAAGATGCGATGGTAGAAGGCGCCCGCACACTCTGAATCGTGGCGACCACATCATGCGGCAGCCCAGAAGCCTCTAAGCGTGACCGCTCAGCGGCCAGACCCACAGCCGTTGGCCTATTTCCGGAGGATGTTTGATTATCCCATCCGCCTGGAGAAGGGCGTCCGCCCTCCACGGAAGCCTCCACGGGGAGCCGAACACTAGCGCTTGCAGGTCTGGAAACCATGACGCAGACAAGCGTCTGGGAGCCACCAGAATTACCAAAAGCTGTTCCGACCGAACTCGGTCCAGGAGACAGGGAATCAGTGGGACTGGCGGAAACGCATACAGGAGCGTCTGAGGCCATGGCTGGTGTGAGAAGGCGTCCGCTCCGAGTGGGGGGTGGTCCCGGGGACTCAGGGAAAACCACAGGCGACACTGAGCGTTTTCGCGAGCCGTGAACAGATCCACAGAGGGTTCCCCGAACTTGATAAATATCTGTGATATTAGTGCGGGATGCAGACGCCAGTCGGAGTCGCGGGGTCCCCCTCTCAACAGGATGTCTGCTGCCAAATTCAGGACCCCCGGAATGTAGGTGGCTTTGATGGACAGCAGATGGACATGTGCCCAACACAGTAAATCTGTGTCCACGCACAATAGTGGGAGGGATCAAACTCCCCCTTGGTGATTTATGTAGGCTGCCGCCACCAGGTTGTCTGTGTGAACTTCGACATGACGGCCCTCGAGAAGGGCAGCGAAGTGACTGATCACATTCCTCACTGTCATAAGCTCCAACACATTTATGTGCTCGTGCGTGTGGGAGGGCCAGCGATCTGCCACCGTATGGGACAAGCACGTGCCCCCCATCCCAACAGTGACGCATCCGTAAACACAGATACGTGTGACGTAGGACGTCCAATGGGGACCCAGTGTGAGAGGATGCAGAGATTCCCCCAGTGAGCGAGGTCCCCGCCCACTGAAGGGGGAACCCTCAACATACGTCTCTTCTGACGGTGTGTGTGTGTGTGTGTGTGTGTGTGTGTGTTCGTGTGCGCCTGCTCTGTCTTCTCGATCCACCGTGAGTCGTGGAGGATGGCTGCTTATACTGAGCCAGGATCCTCTGGAGGCTTCTTTCTGTTAAAAGGGAGTTTTCCTTTCCACTGTCGCTTTATGCTTGCTTAGTATGAGGATTGCTGTAAAGTCACTGACACTAGTCAGTAACTTCATGCAATTTGCTGGGTTCTTTATATAGGAAACATCATTTCTGATTGGCTTAATGAACTGACCTGAATTGGAATGTTTATTATGTGAAGTGCCTTGAGATGACTCTTGTCGTGATTTGGTGCTTGTCAGGGACTTGCATAAACCAGCCAGCAGAGCACGGATGATTTTCTTGACATGTTAATTTATTACTTTTTTTCCTTTTCTCCAAAGAGGGTTCCAGCCAGCAATTAACATTACATGACAATGGATGTAGAAACAAAGTAACCCAAACTCAGGATCTGACTACAGACATGTACAAAAAATAACCTCCTGCAGACGCAACAGGATCAACTTAAATAGTGGCTGATCAGACCACTGCCAACACAATAGGGTGGGAGACATCAGTAAACAAAGAACATAAATAAACTACTGCTAACAAATTCATACTAATCAGTCCATTCTGTTTGAGTTACTTCAAATGAAAACATATTACTATCAAAACCCAACTATTATTTACAAAAGAGAATAACTAAATACATAAACACAGGAATCTTCTCCCTTGAGTTGGTATGATCCAATGGTGCTGATTAGGCCAAGTGATCTGCTACAGCTGCTCCAACTCCAAGGCCACTGGCAACTCAAAGAAAACATATTAATCATACAAACCCCTACAGACTAAAACCGATGAGTAACTGAAGGTGTGCACTTCATACAGTCACCCAAACAGTCAATCCATGGAAACAAACACCTTTGTTCAAAATAAAACATTAACAGTTATTTGCTTGAAGTGTGGCAGCAGGGCAGCTGTCACAGTCCCCCCTCCTTAAGAAGCTACCCCGCTCCAGCGGGAAAGATAATCAGCAGTCATATTAGCCTTGCCTGGGACATGCTGTACCAAAAAGCGAAAGGGTTGCAGTGCAAGGGCCCACCGAGTAACACGGCTGTTTGTGTCCCTCATACGATGCAGCCATTGCAGAGCTTTATGGTCTGTCTGCAAGGTGAATTCTCTGCCAAGCAGGTAAAACTTCAAAGAGTCCAAGGCCCATTTAATGGCCAAGGCCTCCTTCTCCACCGTTGAATATTTCACCTCCCTAGGGAACAACTTACGGCTAATAAAAGCCACTGGATGCAGATTCTCATGACCTTGGAGGAGGACTGCACCAATACCTCTGTCAGAGGCATCCGTCTGCAAAACAAACGGTTCATCAAAGTCAGGACATTTGAGGACAGACTCCTTACCAAGAGCATGTTGCATGTCTCGATACGCTGCCATGGCCTTCTCTGTCCACTGGATGACATTGGGATACTTTGATCCCGTCATGTCCGTGAGTAGAGCAGCCCTAGATGAAAAGTGGGGAATAAATCGGTGGTAATAACCTGCCAACCCCAGAAATGACCTGAGTTGCTTCTTGGTTCTGGGTGTTTGACAGGACTCGAGAGCTTGTACTTTAGCGACTAGGGGCTTAACAACCCCATCACCTACTCGAAACCCCAGGTACTCTACCTCACGGCGGGCCAACACGCATTTGGAGGGGTTCACCGTGAGCCCAGCATCTCGGAGGCGACTCAGAATGGATTGTAGGTGCTTCATGTGATCCTCCCATGACCTACTGAAGATAACAATGTCATCTAAATAAGCACATGCATAGTCTTCACAACCTCTCAGAACCTCATCCATCAGCCGCTGAATCGTAGCAGGTGCCCCATGCAACCCAAATGGCAAAACTGCAAACTGAAACAGGCCCCATGGGGTCCGGAAGGCAGTGAATTCCCTTGACTCCTGGGAAAGTGGCACTTGCCAATAACCTTTACACAAGTCAAGGGTACTCAGGAACATGGATTTTCCCAATCTGTTAATCACATCATCAGTACGTGGTGTGGGGTAGGCATCAAACTTTGATACCGAATTCAGATACCTGAAGTCAATGCAAAAGCGTATTCCCCCCTCCTTCTTAGGGACCAGAACCACAGGATTACACCACTCACTCTTGGAGTCTTCAATAATACCAAGAGACTGCATCAGTTCCACTTCTGCCTTAAGGGAACCCAGGAGACGCTCAGGGATTCTATAGCTCATGCGTTTAGCAACTGCATCCCGTTTTAACACAATGTTGTGTTCAAGAATGTCTGTGCGCCCTGGATACTCAGCAAAAACTTGAGGGTGACACACCATTTTTATCTGGTTTTGCTGTTCCATGGTCAGGTGACTAAGATTACAAACTGTAGAGGATGGAGAGGGCATGTACTGGTCATCAACATCCTCCTCCTCTGCTACTGCTCGGATCAACATCACACCTGCTCCTGTTACAGAACGGGGTGTCCATTCCTTAAGCAGATTCACATGCAGCACTCTCTTCGAACGGGACCTACAAGGGTCACATACCTCGTACGTGGTAGGCCCAAACCGTTTCACCACCTCATACGGCCCCTGCCATTTAGCCAGAAGCTTACTTTCACGGGTTGGCAACATGACTAGGACCTTCTGCCCTGGTAGAAAGTCCCTTTCCCGTGCAGACTTGTCATACCAACGCTTCTGGTACCTTTAGGCTTCAGCCAGATGCTGCTGAGTTAAAGTTGTCATTTTCAGTAACCTCTCTCTCATCTGCAAAACATAAGAGATCACATTAACAGGCCCCTCCCCTTTTTCCTCCCCAGTCCAGGTCTCTTTCAATAAAGCCAGAGGTCCTCGCACCTCATGCCCATACAAAAGTTCAAAAGGAGAGAAGCCTGTTGAGGCTTGGGGTACCTCCCTGTAGGCGAAGAGAAGGTAAGGCAACCATTGATCCCAGTCAGAACCAGTTTCATCAACGAACTTCCGCAGCATTTGTTTTAGAGTCTGGTTAAATCGTTCGGTTAAACCATCAGTCTGGGGATGATAAGGGGTAGTTCGGATCCCCTTGATCCCCAGTAGTTGGTACACCTGCTGCAATAAAGTAGACATGTAGTTAGTGCCCTGATCAGTCACAATTTCATGAGGGAAACCCACCCGTGAGAACAGCTGCACCAAGGAAAGAGCCACTGCTTTTGCTTTCATCGTCTTTAGAGGAAATACCTCAGGGTATCTGGTTGCATAGTCTGTAATTACCAACATATAGCGATAACCCGTCTTACTCTTCTCAAGGGGTCCCACCATATCCATTCCCAGACGCTCAAAAGGAGTGTTGATAAGAGGAAGTGGTTGCAATGGTACCTTTGGAGGGCATTGGTTGGATGCTAGTTGACACTCAGGACATGTTTTACAAAATTGGGCAACATCGGACCTCAGACCAGGCCAGTAGAAATGGCGTTTAATACGGGCCCATGTCTTCTGCTTCCCCAGGTGGCCAGCCCAAGGAATAGCATGACCCAATTCCAGCACCATCTCTCGTGCCTCTTGTGGGACCACCAGCTGCCTCTGTACTCCTTGTTGCCGATACAAAATGTCATCCTGTAAAACATACTCAGCACAGCCCTTGTGCTCACCACTCTCATCTCCCCGGGCCCTCTGAATGAGTTCAGATAGTTCAGGATCATCTTGCTGCATCTGGGCCATCCTTGAAGGCATTGTGAAACCCTGTGGTACCTCTATCAGGTCCTCCTTAGACATCCTCGCAGTATGTAGAAACTTCTCCCGCCTCCGCTGCTGACGGGACTTGCGTAGTTTCCCAGGCTGCACATCCAGCTCAGCGTCGAAGAAGGGCAGCGCACTACGAGGCAGAAGTGTCTCCTCCTTCTGCCTCACCTGAGAGCGAGTAACCACAGCACAGTTCAATGGAGCCTGAATCAAGTCAAACAGGATTGGTAAGTCACTACCCAACACCACTGGAAAAGGAAGGCTGTTTAACACTCCAACTCTCAGCAAATGAACTTGTCCTTGAACTTTGATATACAGGTCGGCAGTAGGATACCTCCGCTTATCACCGTGCACACATTGGAGAGGAATGGTGTCCAACACATTAACAAGGGAATGCGGGACCAGGGTTCTTTCCACTAGTGTCTGAACACTACCGGTGTCAATCAAAGCTTCCACACTCCTCCCATTTACTTCCACTTTGGTAACTTGTAATGGTAGAGCACCCTTTAGGTTTTCCTTTCCTTTTGCTGGAACAACACACAGTTGAGTGGTTTTAGCAGTGTTCTTGGGGCACATAGGTTTAGTATGACCTGGCAGTCCGCACAAATAGCAGATAGGTTCTTTATATTGTTTAGGAAACACCCCATCTGGGCGAAGGTCCCTCGAGGGACCCTTACCTGCCGTAGCCATTGCTGATTGGAAATGAGGTTGTCCATATGGGGTTCTCCGATTATCCTTCTCTTTGGAAGTCTTCCAAGCAGTGTAACTCCAGGGTTGTCCTTTTCGTCTTGCTGCGACAAACACCTCTGCTAATGAAGCAGCCTTGGACGCAGATGGAGGGTCATGTTCCCGAACCCAAACCTGAAGCTCCGGGGACAGCATACGAAGAAACTGCTCTAAAACAATCATTTCGCCAATGTCTTTAACAGTTTTACCTTGGGGGTGGATCCATTTGTCATAGAGCTCTTTTAGCCTGACATATAGCTCTTTAGGAGTCTCACCCGCTTCAACCTCTGTCGAGCGGAATCTCTGTCGATAAGTCTCTGGGTTGATATCATATTTCCTGAGAATAGCTCCCTTAACAGACTCGTAGTCACGTACCTCCTCAATGTCCATGTGCACATAGGCACTCCTGGCTTTCCCAGTGAGTAGTGGTACAAGGTGGAAAACCCAGTCAGCCATTGGCCAATTACAGGATGCGGCAATCCTCTCAAAAGTAATCAGGAAATGTTCAATGTCATCAGTGTCTGTTAACTTTTCCAGTCTAGGCTCTGAGAAGGAACGACACTGACCTGGAGAGTTGATGGTCTTGAGACCCTCGGCCACCTGTTCCTCGTCGCCTTGCTCCAGCTCCTCAGAATCAGATTTCCTGAGAGGGTGTGGCTGTAGCTCCTCTTGCAGATGCCGAAATTGTTGCTGAAGCTCCTGGAACCTCCGATCCTGACGTCGTGCCTCTTCCATCAACATGTGATTCTGGGCCGTTTGTTGGCTCATGGGTGCCTGAAGTATCCCAACAAGATCTGTTAACGTTGGCTCCCGGGATCCTTCCGCTTCCACAACTGCAGGGCCAGCAGCCCCCTCATCTTCAGAACCATCCGACTGCTTTTCCGGTCCAGCTGACTCCAAAGGCTCCACAGGTCGTCTGCCCCTGCCTCGCTGCATGGTTTCTTCCCTGGGTCTCACTAATTCAACACGTACTCATGGCTAGCAAAATCCCACCTCTGCCACCACTTGTCAGGGACTTGCATAAACCAGCCAGCAGAGCACGGATGATTTTCTTGACATGTTAATTTATTACTTTTTTTTCTTTTCTCCAAAGAGGGTTCCAGCCAGCAATTAACATTACATGACAATGGATGTAGAAACAAAGTAACCCAAACTCAGGATCTGACTACAGACATGTACAAAAAATAACCTCCTACAGACACAACAGGATCAACTTAAATAGTGGCTGATCAGACCACTGCCAACACAATAGGGTGGGAGACATCAGTAAACAAAGAACATAAATAAACTACTGCTAACAAATTCATACTAATCAGTCCATTCTGTTTGAGTTACTTCAAATGAAAACATATTACTATCAAAACCCAACTATTATTTACAAAAGAGAATAACTAAATACATAAACACAGGAATCTTCTCCCTTGAGTTGGTATGATCCAATGGTGCTGATTAGGCCAAGTGATCTGCTACAGCTGCTCCAACTCCAAGGCCACTGGCAACTCAAAGAAAACATATTAATCATACAAACCCCTACAGACTAAAACCGATGAGTAACTGAATGTGTGCACTTCATACAGTCACCCAAACAGTCAATCCATGGAAACAAACACCTTTGCTCAAAATAAAACATTAACAGTTATTTGCTTGAAGTGTGGCAGCAGGGCAGCTGTCACAGTGCTATATAAATAAAATTGAATTGAATTGAATTGAATTGAATTGACCTATCGGGTGTACCCGGAGGCGGATGAACCAATGCTGCAGGCGCCTCTTGTGCAGTAAACCTAACAGCACCGCAGAGTGGGCTGCAGCCATCATGCCCAGAAGTTTCATGACTAACGGGGCTCTCACGATCTTGCGGGGTTGCACGCGGGAGATCACCGTGGTGAGATCTGCCGCTCTTGCCGGAGACAAACGTGCCCTCATCAGGGAGGCGTTCAGCTCCACCCCGAGAAACACAATCGACTGGGATGGAAGGATGGAGCTCTTTTCCCAGTTTATGGAAAACCCCAGGGTTGACAGATCCTCCATTAACTTCCTGGTTTGCTCTGACGCCTCGTCCTTGGACCGGGCGCATAGGAGCAGATCGTCCAGGTAAAATAAAACCCTCATTCCCAACGTGCGCAATGGCTGCAGAGTGGTCTCCAGACATTTGGAGAAGGTGCACGGGGCTAGCGAGTAGTCGAAAGGGAGACGATTGAACTGGTATTGAACTTGAAAGAAAAGTGCAGGAACTTCCGGTGTTTGGGAACTACTGGGATGTGGAAGTATGCGTCTTTCAGGTCTATTGACGTGAACCAGTCCCCGGAGCGCACGTATTGTAGGACTTGCCTCATTGTTAACATGCAGAAATGCATCACTGCTATGGAGCAGTTGAACAGGGAAAGGTCGAGAATTGGTCCCATTCCTCCCGACTTCTTCAGTACTATGAAGTAGCGGGAGTAGAAGCCTGAGAGCTCTTGTCCGCAAGGGACTTGGGAAATGGCGTCCTTGGACAGAAGTTCCCACAGCTCCAGCTCCAGAGCCTGAGATTGTTCCTGTGACGTGAACTTCATCTCCACGATCCTGTTGAAGGGAGGAGGAGTGGACTGAAAATGGAGTGTGTGACCGCAATGAATGGTCTCCGATATCCATTTGCTCATGAGACAAAGGCGGCACCATTCCTGCGCGCGTTCCGACAGCAGACGTGTGTTCGAGGTCACGTGAGGACTGGGTTCACGCCCTTACCACCGTCGCTCGCACCAGAGGACTGTGAGCTACCCATGGAGGGCTGCGCTCGAAAGGGCGAGTGTGAAACAGCTGGAAGAGGCTGATCCGCACCGCGGAGCGTGGAGTCCAAAGTTAAAGGATGAGTGGGAGCCGGGCCCGTGCACGGGGACGACAAAGTGCCAGCGGATGGAGCCGTGCACTGTCGCCGCGCGTGGTCGCGACAGTGCCATGACATCCCGTCCCACCCAACGTTGTGGGGGAAGCGGAATGTGTTGGGCCTGGCTGGAAGCTGGGGCCGGTGCGCAAATGGAGCGCACCCGTACAGCTGGCTGTGTAATATGACTGACTGCGGGAACATGCAGATGCGCCGCAGTGCTTGGTGTGGGGAACATGTGTGAGGATTCGGCAGAGGATTCTGCAGAGGACTGTAGGATTGTGCTCTCTATGTGACGTTTTTTGGGTTTTATTTCAAAACCAACATCATCAACATTACAGTCATAAGCACACACATTCCCCCCAGCGAGTCATTTTTGTGGTTGCTTACGGTGAGGTTCCTGCGACTGTGACTGCCAAGATGGTGTCTGCTGACTCTTTCGAAACCGTTGGCCGCCAACTCTCTGGTCCCGCTTTGGCTCCACCTCAGCGGGAGGCCGGCTCCGTGGGGCGGGCGGTGCAGCTGGGCGCCTGAAGTTTCCGCGCCGTTCGTCCCATCCTCTGGAGGAACAGCCGGAGTGTGAGGCTGACCGAGGGTGGACCAGGTCTCGCACCGTGGCTGACAGTTCAGCTGTCTTCTGAGCCCTCTCGATGGGGACCAAACAGAACGCCAGAGGTGATGGGGCCTTCCAGCATCTCCCTGTGCAGGTGTTCAGGAATGGAGGGCAGGGCCTTGAGCCACAAGGTACACAGATAAGGGTCTGCCAGGCAGCAATGCGAGCAGAACCGGTGAGTACAGCAGCGCACAGATTGAGAATGGCATCAGCAGTTTTAGTAATGATGGTTTTTGACTCGTCAGGAGCGTCAAGCTCTTCCACCATTTTGGAAATGCCATAGGCAAGAAGGGCGATGTTATTTCCTGCAGCGCCGGTCTGGAAGGTGCACTGGTGTGCGCGATCGGTGAGCCACATCAGCAGCTGGTCATGCTTAGAAGCGGGAACTGCTCGCGGGCCAGCGAGGTGGTTCTTGGCGCCAAACAGCGAGGCCAAGTCCGGCTCTAGTGGAGGAACGGAAGGCCAGCCTTGGTCGGAGAAGCCCTTGACCTTGGTAATGAGTGCATATGTGGAAATTGGCACCTTGAGCTTAGCAGGTTCTGAGAAGGCGGTGGGCCAGCAGCTCATGGCAGCGGGGAAGCGCGGCCAGATGGAGTCTGGACAGCGCGTCTGTGTTGCCCCGAAAATTCCCACCAAATCATCTGCTTCAGGCGGAGCCGGTTCTGGCACGGCTAGCCCCTTGCGGAACACAGCCACGGAGATGATGGCAGGCAGCTCCTGGAGCAGTGCTCTAACTGCTGGCAGGGAGGAGCGAGAAGTCACTGGAGCAGAAGGACCTGCTGAGCGAGGCTCGTCGACCTCCGTGTTGTCCAGGAGGGAAGAAGGGCTATGGCAGCCAGCCTCGTCGTACTCCTCACTGTCGATGACATCGTCCAGTCGGTTGAAGCCAGCTGGCTCCTGGCCAATGTTGAAGAAATCTAATGCCTGATTTATGCTTCTCCGTCTGCGTCAGTGCGGAGACACGCAATACCATTATCCGTCCTTGCGTAGGGCTTCGGCAGGCACGCAAGTACGTATGGAGTCGAGCCCACTTTTTTAAACATCCGTCGAACGAGACGGATTACGCAAGCTTGTGATTGGTCAGGACGCCGCTGTTGTTTACAGCGCCGCCATTGCAAAGAGAGCCGAGGATAACTAGCGGCAGACACAGAGAAGCTTGAAGAATACCTCACGAAAAAACTCTAAAAATATGACCGTTTAATTCTCTCGTGACTGGAGGAGTGAAAAGATACGCAGCAAGCGTTTTATTTGTGGACGGAAATGACAGGAAACGTGGGTTTAGAGGTGGGGAGCGCATGAAGCGGTGGGAGAATGAGAGACAAATATGTCCATGTTAAAAGTCTCTTACATACACAAAAAACACAATATAAACACACGATCTTGGACCGATACATGACAGGATACCACAGAACAGCGCTACGCCCTCTGTTGTCCTGCCGGGCAATTGCTTTACAACACTCTCCAGGAGATGGAGAAGTAAAAGAGCAAAACGCTTCCGTCAATCCGTGCGTGTCTGTCCCTTGCGGAGCTGACGGAGAAGCATAAACCAGGCTTTAGGCCTTGTCCAGCGAGTACGTGTCAGCCACCGGAATTTCCTCAGGGGCGGCGGCAGGGGTGAAGTACTCGACCCGGTGGATCTTTTCAGCCACGGGCAGAGCGGCACAAAACGGGCACGAGGCCTGGGGGGTCAAGGCCAGGCCAGCGTGATGAGCCCCGAGACAGACCTCACACTTGGCGTGCAGGTCGCCGCTGGAGATGAAGCCCGTCTGGCAGGCCGGGCAGGTCCTGGCGTCGCTGGACATGGTAGGCGAGTAGAATGCTTCTTGGATAATTGCTCTTTAAAGGAAGCTCTTAAGCTTGGCTTGAAGAGATAACGGAGGCGAACAGTGGAGCCGCTCCACTTATACACCCACAGGAGTGCCCACCATTGGTGGGCGTACATTTAAGCTCTTCATCATTGGCTGATGCTGTGTTACGTCCCCGACATGAGATGGTAAAATGTGAAGGATGGGGATAACATAAAAACTGGACAGTGGATATTAAAGGGGTTTTATTGTTATAAAAAGGTTCTAAAAACGAGCAAAACAGACGACGAGCATTATAAAGATAATGCAACACACAAACTCAAAAGGGTTAACGTTAAAAGACGAATGATCAACTACTAAAACACCTGGTTAAAACTTAAGTTTTACCAAACGAAGGTGTTTAAAAATGAAGTCAATCATATTTCTACAAACGAAGTTAGCCTTTAAAACAAACGAACACAAGATCCCAAAGCATCACTCAAGAGTTTAAACTTTAAAAGTTAAACTCCTCAAAACGAAGGCACGAATGAACAAGCGAAGGGGTTAAAACAAAACGAATCATGGAGAACAGCAGAACCCCTGCACTGCTGTCTCCCAGACTGCTGAAGGTACAGCTCTTTTATCCCAGGTGTTGGTCATCAGATGGATTCAGCTCAGCTGTGCTCCTCAGCAGCCTGGAAGGGAGGAGGAGGAGGGGCGGTGTCCGGTCAATCACCAGAGCTGGGTGATCCTGGCTGCTTTTTCCCTCTTCAGGCTGGCAGACGTGACACCCCCACACGTAAACAAAAGAAAAAGGATAAAAGTCAGTAAAGGACACAATAGTAACTTTTAAAAGTTTTTCTTTAAAAGCTAGGATCACATCAAAACAAGAGAGCCCCCGATAAAACAATAAAAACAGGCTATCTAAAATCCCTAGTCTTCATGCACGTCACGGGCGGGCAGATTAAGCACATGTGCATACACACATACAAACCAGCAAAGAGAGGGGGGTTAGCCCCTGCCCTTCCTGGGGTGCTCCAGAGATGGTGAAACAAATCACCAACACTAACCCGCTAAGTGCAACACTAAAAAAAAGAAAACAAACAGGTCTCTCCCTAAAGAGGGAGAGCCTCTGAGCCTGCCTGGAGGGGTCATCTCTAGATCCACGTCTTTTATCCTCCTCTCCTTGGGCTGGATCAGGCTCGAAGCTTCTGAGAGCCCATCCAGCAGTGGATGCTCCGGTGGGGGCGGGGCCCCCAGAAGCACCCGCCAGTCATCCACAAGTCATCTGTTGCTTAAAACCTTTTAAAAAAATAAAACACCATTAAAATACCACCACCAGGGAATTGTTCATTCCTTCACGGACTGCTGTTGTT